CAAGTTGGATTCGACTTGCTAATATTTTGTTGGAGATTTTTGCATCTATGTCCATGAGGGCTATCGGTCTATTATTTCCCGTTCTTATAGTGTCATTGTCTGGTTTAGGTATGAAGGTGCCTCACAGTATGAGTTAGGAACTGTTCCCTCTGCTTCGATTTTCAGAAGCAATTATAGAAAACTGCTATCGTTTCTTCTTTAAATGTTTAGTGGAATTCACCAGTGAACTCATTTGTGTCTGGTTCTCTGTGTTTTGGAAAATTGTTTATTGGTTTCTTTCTTTTCAGTTTCTGATTCAGTTTCTTTAATAGATATAGACATTCATATTATATTCATATTATATGAGTTTTGGTAGATTGTGCCTTTCAAGGAATTTATACAGTTTATCTAAGTTACCAGATTTGTGGGCAGAGTTGTTCACAATATTCCTTCATTATCCTTTTGAAGTCCATGAGATCTGTAGGTGATGGCCTCTTTTTCATTTTTTATATCAGTAATTTGTACCTAATCTCTTTTTTTTTCTTGGTTAGCCTGGCTAGAGGCTTATGAATTTTATTGATCTTTTCAAAGAACTAGCTTTTCATTCTTTTACTTTCTCTATTTAACTAACTGCTTTCGGTTTCATTGGCTTCTGCTTTAATTTTCATTATTTCTTTTTTTCTGCTAAATTTAGATCTAATTTGGTTTTCTTTTCTAGTTTCTCAAGGTAGAAGCTTACGTTGTTGATTTTAGAGCATTTGTCATTTCTAATATAGTCATTCAATGCTATACAATTTCATATAAGCACTGCTTTAGATAAATCCCATATTTTTTTATGTTATATATTTTTTTCATCTAGTAAAAAACAACTTTAAATTTCTCTTGAGACTGCTTGACCATTGTGTTATTTGGAAGTTTAATCTTCACATATTCGGGGATTTTCTAGCCATCTTTCTGTTATTGAATTCCACTGCTGTTCTTTTAAATTTGGGAAGTTGTGTTATGCCCCAGACCGTGGTCTGTCCTGGACAATGTTTCATGTGAGGCTGAGAGGAATGTGTGTCCTGCTGATGTAGAATGAAGTAGCTAACAGACGGCACTTATATCCTGTTGACTGCCGGCGCTGTTTGAGTTCAGCGTGCCCTGACGGGTTGCCTACCTGCTGGGTCTGTCCAGCTCTGATGGAGGTTCATCTCCAACCGTGATGGTAGATTCAGCGATTTCTCCTTCCAGTCCTCTCCGTTTCCTCCTCATGCATTTGATGCTGTGGTTAGGTGGAAACACATTAGGGGTGTCTGTCTTCTTGGAGAACTGATCCTTTCATCAATATATGTGCCCTTCCTTATCCCTGGTGACTTTCCTTCTTTGAAAATCTGCTATGTCTGAAATAAATAAAGCTTCTTCAGTTTGCTTTTTCCAGTTTTATTGAGGTATCACTGAGGTACAGAGCTGTTCCAGCCTAGGGCGTCCAGACCTCAGGTGGTCCTCATCAGCAGCTGCAAGAGGACCGAACTTGGCAGCAAGGAAGAAATTATCAAAGATTTTCATGAAACGTTCCTGGGCAGGAAAATCCCTGTGGGAGACACCTTGGAGGACATTCAAAACTCAGTCTGAGGGCCGGCCAAGTGGCGCGTTGGTTAAGAGCTGGCTTGGGACGCCAGAGGGCCCCGGTTCAGATCCCACATATGAGGGCCAGTAACACTGCCCTCTACAGCTAAGATGCTGAACAACAGCTCAACCTGGAGCTGGGCTGCCGAGAGTCGCTGGTGACGGCGTAGGCTGCAGCAGAGCTGCAGTGAGCTGCTGTGAGCTACGTGAGTGGCTGGCAGCCAGCATGAGCGGCTGGCAGCCAGCATGAGCAGCTGGCAGCCAGCATGAGCGGCTGGCAGCCAGTGTGAGCTGCCAGGAGCTGCTGTGAGTGAACAACCAATGACCGGCGACCGATTGCCTCACCCGGGAAGAGCACAATGAACATACCAACATGGGCCAGTGAAGCAACGTCCTCCACAACTAGACTGAAGAACAAAAACAGCAATTTGTCTACCTGTCTGTTCCCCTTTCCAATTCCCCAACGCTGTTCCCCTCCCCCCAATTCCCCAATAAAATCTTTCAAAAAAAACCCAAAACAACTCAGTCTGAATTATTTGTGAAAGATTTCAAAGTTATACCTTTGGAAGTGACCCTGTTCAGAAGCTAAACCTTGTGATGACAGAAATCCCCAAAAGATGGGCCTTGCGTGCATGCTGGCTCTCACCCTTCTCTTCTCTCTTCTTTCCCCTCGCTCCCTCCCTCTCTCCTTCCCCTCACCCTCTGGGCTTTCTCCACCCCCACCCCCACCCCCATGACCTCCCTGCCCTCATCTCCATGACTGAACATCTCACCCCATGGCAAAGGGTCCTGGAGATGTTGGCTGTTACCAAAGCCTGTCCCAGAGCTGTTAGCAGCAGGTGCTGAGTTCATGGTGCACAGTCCACTCAAAGAGGGTACACCTCAGGAGATGGGGATGACCTTGGCATCGCCCAATCACAGGCCTCAGGACCCTTCCCCGTGCTGGTATGGCAGAGCACACCAGAGCAGAGGTGACACCACTCCTTGGCCCCATGTCTCCAGTCTCTGGCCCCAGGTCCATCTCTGACTGGCACTCCTCGGTCCCTTTGACAAAAGGAAAAGAGTATTTCAAAAGAAAGGTCATGATCAGCAGTGCTGAGTGCTGGAGAGGTGATGGGACTCAGAACTGAAGTGGGTTTAGAAATTGGGGTGTTCTTGGTGACCCCAAAAAACAAAGCTTTGTAGTGATGGGCTACCGACAGAACATGAGTGGTGACAATAACTAAAACTTAGAATGTGCCAGGCATGTGCGTTACAGCGCTTGATGCCTGATGTGCTGCGACCATGCCATCTTGCAGGTGAGGCAATGGAGGTACAGAGAGGGTAAGTAACTTGTCCAAGGTCACCCAGCTATTGGATGGTGGAGCCAGGACTTGACCCCAAGCAGCCTGGCTGAGGAGATGTGTTCTTGGCCGTTGCACTTGCTGAAGCCACAATAGAAGGGAGACAGCGCAGTAGCTTTTGAGTCTGTGCTGCGGAGAGGGGGAATGCAGGTGCCTGGCCTGTGGCATGTCTGTGCCTAGAGGAGTGAGGGGGCATGAAAGCACCTCAGGGTGAGAGTGGGGCTGTGGCCCAAGGCCCCGCAATGCCACTGAGCTGTGCAGGGACCAGATTCTGTCCACAGCCAAGCTCTGAAACATCTGCATCTGCTGCCAGGCTGTTGCCATGACTAGTAAACCTCCCTCTGCAGGGTACCAGCACGTCAGGGTGGCTAGGCGTGGGGGGACGGTGAGTCAGGGGGCTGGGACACCACACAGAGCTCATGGCAGTCATCGCCTCAGGCAGCTGAGGCCAGAGTCTGCTCAGAGCTTGTCCCCAGTACCCCGACCCCAAGGAGACCCTGGCCCCTCCTCTGCTTTGCCGGGTGCTGCCCACACCGCGGTCTAAAGTGAGGGCCTGGCCAGGACAAGGCTGCCACATGTGAAAGGTGTCCTTTAAAAAGCACATGGTGGGGCCAGCCGAGTGGCGCGATGGTTAAGAACTCTCTTGGGATGCCAGAGGGCCCCGGTTTGGATCCCACATATGAGGGCCAGTGACACTGCCCTCCGCAGCTGAGATGCTG